CAAACCATACATAAATGGAAAGCTTATTTATTCAGCTTTCAGGTGATGTATAAATCCCAATTTCACAAAATTGACCCTTATGACTGGTTTGTTTTGTGGTCCAGGGTCACAAATGTCCATCAAACTATGAACAAAACGGTTCTTTTAAGCACCACCAAATGGTTCTTCTGTGCATCACCGTAAAAAAAAGCCCTATTTTGAACCTTAATTTTTATTATTAAAGGCTGCATTTATTTGATCAAAAATACAGTGATTTATTATTATAATTAAAAATAAGTATTTTCCTTTTTAATATATTGTAAAATGTAATTTATTCCTGTGATCAAAGCTGAATTTTCAGCATTATTACTCCAGTCTTCAGCATCACGTGATCCTTCAGAAATTATTCTAATGTGCTTTCCAACATTGTAGTGGCATTGATAATAGTTGCGTTTATAATTTTGTTCAGTGTAGCTAGTGTTAGAGGCTTTATTTATTTATTTTGCTTTTGTTAATTGTATAATAAATAAAAAGAAAGAAAACAAAAAGATAAAAAAAGATGAGAAAAGCTAGTGGTTTTTAAAAGAAGAAAAACTAGCAGTTAGTAAATGAATAGTGCAAGTCTAAAAGGGACAATTTTTTTTTAAAGAACAGAGAGTGCTAGAGTCAGAGGGTCAAATAAAGATGGAAGAGATGTGTTTTTAGCTGATTCTTGAAGATGCCTATCAGTCTAATATGCTGATTTGCTGCTCAAGAAACATTTCCGATTATGAATTTATTCATTATGAATGTTGAAATGTTGAAAATAGTTGTGCTGCATCATATTTTTTTGTTGTTGAAACCATCATACTTTTTTCTTTGATGTATAGAAAGTTCAAAAGAACAGAATTTATATAAAATAAATCGTTTTTCACTTTTGATCAGTTTAATGTGTCTGCTGAATAGCAGCATTAATTAATATATATATATATATATATATATATATATGTGTATAAACATCTTAACACCATCTGAGTGTTAAGCCAACACCATTTCATGTGTGTGCTCATCTGATCTCACTATCACTATTTTACTGTCTTTCAGGCTGAAGTGACCTCAAGACCACAGCTTAGCCTACTCCGCTTATCTCCTGCCCTTGCTGCTTCTCGATGTTTCAGAGATGCATGTGCTGTGTAGTGTTTAATGCAGACAAACCCCTCACACACACGGAGCACATGAGGGACCGGAGCCCAGCACCTCAGACACATCTGTGTGGAGGAGGAGAGAGAGAGAGAGAGAGAGAGAGAGAGAGAGAGAGAGAGAGAGAGAGAGAGAGAGAGAGATTGAGAGAGATTTTTTCTATTTCTTTGTGTTTCTGGCTCGTTCATATGTCTCATATCATTTTGACAGAAGTCATATGTCTATCATTTTGTCTTATATTCCAATATATTGTTTGGTTGTGTGTTTTGGTGTTGCGGTTTGTTTTTATCTGTAGTAAACTACACGTTTTTTGAATACTTCAATAAGGGATGGCTGTATTTCATGTGTTCTGTAACTATCTATTAAAATTAGATTTAAGAAACGTGTTTTTGTTTCAATGTGCTTAATTCATATACTAGTCAAGGTTTAATCTTTGAAAGGTTTTTAAATACATTATATTTGATGTGGCAGCGACCAATCAGAGGACAGACAGCCTTGGGTGTTTTTGAATGATGGCAGGTGGCTTTTGACTCGGCTGTTTTACAAGACAATAATTATCATAATGCCTTCGTTTTAATCCTCTTCTTACGAAATGCGGTTGGTGATCAAAAATCAACCAATGAGTTTTCAGAGATTATATACATCCGATGATTTCAACAAAAATATTCTTGCCAGCAATAGGCTGCCATAATGACCCGATTCTCACTCCGCAGCCAATAAACTGCCCGTTATAAGCAACAATACCAACATTTATTGGCTCGCGAAATATAATGAACGAGCAAGGGGCGTTAACAATCAGAAGCTCCCGTATGATTGGCATCCGTTTGATCCAATCATCTTTCGTTTAGTTTGCATTCCCGCTGTCTCATTGGCTGTTTATTTCAGGGGCGTGTCATGGGAGTAGATAGTAGTGGAGTGTGTGTGTGTATCATGACAATCTGAAAATGGCGGATGAAAGCGGATTGATTTAACTTTATCGTACAAAAATAATAATATCAAGTAAAGAAAGACACTATTACACAGGATGAATTTGCAGTCCAACGGGAATTTTTAAGGCTATTTCCACAGAGCGACTCGACACTATCGGCTAGTAGAAGGCTAGGTATTGTTTAAAGGTCTTTTTTTTGTTTTGTTTCTAGCAGGCTAACGGGCTAGCGGTAATGCTAGTGGATTAGCTGGTTAGCCTCCACTGTCAGGGGCTTGACTTTGCTGTTTTAAACCCACCATATGCTTTTCAGTAATAGAGCAGTTACAACTGAGCCTTGTGATGAAAATAAGCCCATTTTTAGGTTGAATTATATTAACATTACTGGTTCTCGGTCAAAAGTAGTGGAGCGTTGGCTCAAGCTAACAGCTTCAGAACTAGAGTAGCTTCAACTGCAATAAATGTCAGTTATCGGTCACAGCTCTTCACTGTTTATTTACTTCACTAGTTGCAGATAAAAAAATATTCGATAGCTTGGCTTTTAAAATGTGTTGTTTCGTTTTGATTTATTACCGGAGGAATGGGAAATTTGGAGCATTTAAACGGACTCTGTTGTCTGATCGTACTGCTAGTTTATATAATGATTGTGTCTCAAAGCCTAGTGAGCCTCCTACCAAGACAGCATTTAACTCCCTCCTAATGCCCAGAATGCTGTTAGATAGGCAGCTCAATGGGTTTTGTGACACATGAACCGGTTGCACCCGATTTCAGTCGGTTGCAGTTGATATCTTTTATTTATTTTTAAGAAATGTGTCTTGATAACTAACTGTTACATTTTCTGTGGAGCATTGTTTAACGTATGCTAGGTAGGTACTCAGTTGGTACTTTAAAGTTAAGTCGTTTTTCATAAAGGTTGGTGATTTGTTTAGTATTATTCCTGTCGTTCAAGTTGGTTTCACTAATGCAGTTATGCTCGCTGCACCTGAAGTCATTTATTACAGCGTCTGCAAGAAACGTGCGTAATTTATTTTATCCTTTCATTTTTTTTTTCAGAGCATGGAAGAGAAGAGTTCCCGTTATAGCAAACGCCTGGTAAGTTTCTCATGTACTCAACAGCTAATATGTGCACAAATTGCTGTCTGGGGACGTTTGTATGTAGTTTTAACCGAGCTGTAACGGCGTTATACCGTCGACAGCTGGCGCTCTTGGCCTGACGTTACACCCGAGGGGTTTGTTGATATTACAGTGAACACACGCCTGAGGGAAGAGACTGTCAAAACCTCATTCTCATGTGTTTACACTGCCTTATCGTCACATAGACTGTGCCACAGCAGCAGTAAAATAATAAATGGGCTTCTTTAATATTTACTTTAAATGGGGATCCACCCTTTCTGATGTTCACTTGGGACAGAAAGCTCTGGTGGAGCATTTGAAACTAAAGATAAGGAACGTTTGGATGAACATACGTCCTCTATTTCCTGGACATGTCCTGGCTGGGATTTCTAAGTTGCCTGAAATGTCCGGAAAAAGAGGATGTATGGTCACCCTTGGATTTTTGTGGGAAAATGCTGGTGAGTTTGAATTTGAGCTGGAATTGGTTTTGTGAAAATACGACTCGAGTTAACCATTGGTCTGTAAATGTTTAAGTCAAAGTGTGTTGTAGTAAAAGATTATATTGTATTAATGCGAATTAAGCAGAAATGGCTTTTGCATTTCTATGTTAATCTGAGTATTGTTTCTTCATCGTCTTATTTGGTATTCTGTTTTCAGCGGACTGGCACGCGACGGCGTTACCAAGATGATGGCATTTCAGACGATGAAATCGAAGGGAAGAGGTCCTTTGACCTTGAAGAGAAGCTCCAAAGTGACCGATACAACTCGGATCTGGTCAAAATTATGGATGGGAAAGGTGTGTGCTAAACTTTGCATGTTGTTTAGTTCCTGCACTGACTTATGGCGAGCTCCATGTGCTGAGTTTCAGTTCCTCTTATCCTAGCTAAACCATATTGAGAGTTTTCTTTGCCACTGCCACCTATGATATGGTTATGGAGCATCGTGTTCTGTTAAGCTGCTTTGAAATGTTTTGCATTGTAAAAACTTGCATATTTGGAGATCCATGTTAACCGTGTATGGTGTTCTTTGCAGACTTCACCTTGGAATACATCCAACGGGAGGGACTCCGGGACCCCATTATCTTCAAGAAAGCAGATGGTCTTGGCATAAAGTATGGCTTATTTCATCATGCCAGTGTTTGGAGTCAGTCAACTCATTTGACACTTATCAGCTCTTTATATTATCTGTCTTTTGTAGGATGCCTGACCCAGACTTTAGTGTCAGTGATGTGAAATTGTTTGTGGGTAAGAACAGAAGTTTTTGTTCCTCTATCACTCTCTCATGCCTTCAACATCTTTATTATCAGTGACGCCTGCTAACGTTTCCTCCCCTACCTTAACTCTGATAGGCAGTCGCAGGATGGTTGATGTGATGGATGTGAACACTCAAAAAGGCATTGAGATGTCAATGGGGCAGTGGAGGAGATACTACGAGACGCCGCCTTCTGAACGTGAAAAACTCTACAATGTGATCAGCCTGGAGTTCAGTCACACAAAACTAGAACATCTAGTCAAGAGACCTACCTCGGTATGTGCACACGCAATTATTGTCAACTGATATTTATTTTTTTTGAGAAATACTGATGGCACTATTGGATATTGAAAAAGAAGAATGTCTTATCAAATAATAGTAAAACTAATACAATAATGAAAATAATAAAATTAAATGATTAAAAATAATAATAAATGATTCAAATATCAAAGTAGCCCTGGAGGGTTATCAAAATAAGATGCAATAAAAGCAGATGAAGCATTGGCATTATTGAAGCAAATTTTATGATTGTTGTTGTTAGTTGTCTTGTCAGGATATACATTTTCAGTTGAGCTTAACAAAAACATTCATACCTTTTTGTGTGCAAAACAGTTTATGTCTTAGCTTGTGTTTTCATTAGGTTGATATGATTGACTGGGTGGACAACATGTGGCCACGGCATCTTAAAGAAAGACAGCGAGACTCCACCAATGCCATTATAGAAATGCAGTACCCTAAAGTACAGAAGTAAGTTGTTTTGTTTATTCATACAATTTAATTGAAGTTTTTTTGTTTGAACACTAGGGCAACATTAACTTGGTTTATGAAGGTTGATCATACCAGCCATGTGTTTTTCAGGTATTGTCTGATGAGTGTCGAGGGATGCTTCACAGATTTCCACATAGACTTTGGCGGCACATCAGTCTGGTATCACATCCTCAGGGGAACGAAGGTGAGTGCTGTCTTAAAGGTACAACACTGTGTAGTGTGCTGACAAAGAGGCTGAGTTCAGAATGAAATACTCGCTTACTCGTTGCATGTTTAATTTAGTGCTAGTTCATGGAGTTCTAATTGTCATGGGAAATATTTAGCAAAATTAATCCAATTTAGTCTAAAATGTCTTAACATTGTCTAGTCTAATTAAATAAGTCATGAAAGCTATCATGGCTGTAATCAGAGATTATCTTACTATAGGGAGATGAGAGGGTCTGTATTACTTACTATTGGAGAAAGCGTAACGGCTAACTTGGATCACGTGTCCCTTAATGACCAATCACATTACAGCCTTGACGTCATTGAACTTCAGTCAGAGTTGTGCGACACTGTCGCCGTTTACGGATACCATAGAAATTAATGAGAAGTGCCGTAAGCTGAATCTCAGCTGTCGCAAAAAAAATCAGTGACTTTTCTCATAAAACTGCATTTTTTTGTGGTAAACTCTAAAAATTGTTCAGTCCAAAAGTATTGTTTAGTGTAAAACATGTTGAAGATTAGCAGATAGGCTGTCGATTCATTAAATGATAAGCCGTTTCCTCTAAAAAGCCGTTTATTCAGCCCTGTGAAGCCTCTCCTCCATTGACATCCATTCTAAAAAAAACGGCCTCTGGTCTCCTTTCCCACGTACTGCCAGCCCGGAAGCGTTAGCTTTAGCCGTCACGCTTTTTCGGCTAATGGTTGCAGGCTTGCCTTCTATCTTATCGACCTCAAACTTTTGACCAGTAGCATAGTTAGAGTTTTGTGCTTTCTTGGTACTTCAAACCATTAGATGTGCGAGAATCTTCTTTCTCAGCTCTAATTGCTGTCGGGCTGTTTGATCATGTTGGATCATCCTCTCCTTCTCAAATCCTCTTGTTCTCCATAATTGCGCCATTTATGAACTTTTCGAACCTATGTGTCAGTCAGCTCGTCTGGTGTTTCATAATTGCCTGTCCTTATTGACCTTGTTGTTCTGAATGATCTCAGGTGTTCTGGCTGATCCCGCCCACACCTCAGAACCTGGAGCTCTATGAGAACTGGGTGTTGTCAGGGAAACAGGGTGACATCTTTCTCGGCGATAAAGCCACGATGTGCCAACGGATTGAACTGAAGCAAGGCTACACATTCATGATCCCCTCAGGTACACATGCTTATCATGCATTAAACGCTTCAGCTAGGAATCTCCCAGGTTTTCTAGGACCAAACCACTGTGTCTGTGTGTGTAGGGTGGATCCATGCAGTTTACACTCCAATGGATACTCTGGTGTTTGGGGGAAACTTTCTGCACAGCTTTAACATTCCCATGCAGCTCAACATTTACAACATTGAGGACCGCACACGGGTGAGCACTCAAACAAGCTCTCGATTATTCCGTTGATGCCCATTTGTGAACTTTTTCTGACTGTCTCTGTGGTTTATGCAGGTCCCTGCTAAGTTCCGCTACCCTTTCTACTTTGAGATGTGCTGGTATGTGTTGGAGCGTTACTTGTACTGTCTGACCAACACATCTCACCTCACACCTGAGTTCCAGAAGCACTCACTGGGCATTGGTCAGTGCACAAACCATAAATGTGTACGATAACATATCAATACAACCGTAATTACATTGGCACATCTGTTTTGTGCTTCACAGGGCTAAAGAAGGAGGATGTGATTAAACAAGGAGGCTTTAATGGTCAAGAAGAAAATGTAGTGGAAGAGGAGGAGCAGATGGTGAAGGAGGAGCCGGAGGAAGAGGCAGCATCTCCTGCTCGTCCAGGGGTGAAAGTTCACCTGACACCCTTAGAGCTGGAAGGACTTTGGGAATTACTGCTCAAGTTGGAGGAATTGCCAGCACACAAGAAATGTGTTCCAGCAGGCATCAGAAACGCCCCAGCACTACTCAGTGACATACGGGTGCAAACATAACACCATGTGGCCACATAAATATAGTTGTTTTTTTTTTGTTTTGTTTTTTTTGGTAACAAGCTCATTTCTCTATTTTTCTTTCTGTCCCAACAGAAGCTGCTAGAGGAACATGCCAATGATAACCCCAAACTGTCTTACACTGGAAAACCAATCGTCAAATGGCCCAAAAGGGTAGGTTATACACTATGACCACCGTCCGTACAGCATGTACAGATGTAGTGAGTTGAAGTAAAAATGTGTCTGCTTCTGTCTAGCCCTCGTGGTATGAGCCGCCGCCGCTGCCTCTGTCTCTGCTGTACCGCCCGCGTTCTCCCGGCTCAGCCCCCGTGTTGCCGCCAGTTCCTCGACCCGTGAAGCCGTCTTCCTCCATCTCGGCTCTGAGACGCAGACGTGTGCGCTGCAAACGCTGCGAGGCCTGTCTGCGCACCGAGTGTGGCGACTGCAACTACTGTAGGGACATGAGGAAGTTTGGAGGACCAGGCAGACTCAAGAAGAGCTGTGTTCTACGTCAGTGTCTTGCAGTGAGTATCTGTGTTCAGTGTTAATGTCTAAATGTTTTAATGTCAGATGTTTTTTAGTGTTAGAAAATTTGGTCAACGTTTTGTCCATTACATATATGCTACCTTTCAAAAGTGTGGGGTCCGTAAGATTTTTTTTTTATTATTTAAAGAAATGTATACATTTATTTAGCAGGAACACAATGATTATTGAAAAGTGTCAGTAATGGCATTTATAGTCAAAGATTACTATTTCAAATAAATGCTGTTCTTTCCTAAAAAAAAATGTTGTTTCCACAAATATTAAGCCGCACAATTGTTTTTAGCTTTGATAATAAAAAATCAGCAGCAAATCAGCATATTAGAATGATTTCTGAAGGATCATGTGGCACTGATGACTGAAGACTTACAACTAGAAATAATATTCAAATATAGCATATTAAAATGGAAAACTGTTATTTTAAATGGTAATATTTCATAACATTACTATTTTTACTGTATGTGTTTTTTAATAAAAAAAATGCAGCCTGAATTGAGCATAAGAGACCTTATTTCAAAAACAAATGTATCAACCCCAACATTTTGAATGGTAGTGTATATAAAAAATTGACTTATTCATTAATTAATGAATGAATACAGTTTGACAATGTTGTCAAATGTTGCCTGAAGCAAAGCATTGTCAAGAAAAACTAAAAACAAAACCATAAATTGTGTAAAAATGAACTCTGTACTATGTTAGAGAGTGTTGTATCTCACACTTGTGTTGTGTTTCTAGCCGGCGCTACCTCTTACTGCAGTATGTGCCACATGTAAGGAGGGCTATCAGGAGTCTATAGACTCTGAGTCCGTCCAAACGCTCATGGAATGCTCCGAATGCGCTCAGATCACTCATCCAGAATGTATAAAGGTACATGTACGTGTCTGTCCCACATCTTGTTTGTATGGAATTAGCTGTTATATGTTAATACCACGTGTATATTGCAGGTGCCCGGTGAGGGTATTATTAATAAGGACCTTCCCAGTTGTTGGGAATGTCCAAAATGTGTCCAGGGCAAGAAAATAGAGGTATGCTTTCTGGAAACTTTTGCCATTTGTCTTTTTTTTTTTTTTTTTTTTTTTTTTT